ACACACACACACACACACACACACACACACACACACACACAAAGAGCCACACAGAGGCAGAACTTTGCACCTGTACTTGTTTGTTTACTCCTTGGACGAGGGAGTGATTGCACTGAGGGGTCTCACCAGGGTTCAGTCAGCTCTGTACAGTCGGAGAGATTCAGCGCCTCACACGTCTGAGCCACACTTTCAGAAAGAAAGACGCTTTAACAGGATGCAAAGAACTGCTGTTCTGGTTCCTGTGCTGATCCTGGGATGGATCTGGACCCTGCAGGGGCTCCCGGTTCTCCCGGAGCCGCTCTATCCCACCCAGGAGAACTTTGATTTGAGCAAGGTGAGGGCCCTGAATGCTTTTCTTTTCTTCATTTATAGTACAGGAAAAAAAAGTTTATTAAAGCAGAGAAGCAGATTTTGACCTCCATTAGTTTCTTCTTAAACAAATATTTATTCTTAATTATTAAATATAATAATTAGTTTTATTTGTTTGTTTGTTTTATCTTAAAAGTTAAGTTGTTCATTAAAAATAATTTTATGTTTGTTAAAACAAATTCACATTTTTGGAAATTTTCCCAACTTTTATTCATTTTAGTTTTCTGTGAGTAAAATGTTTTTTTTATTTTGTTGACCATGACAGTTTATAGGAACATGGCGTGATGTAGCCGTGGCGAGTTCTTGTCCCCACATGCAGCAACACAGAGGAGATGTAGCCATCGGCAAACTGCTGCTGCAGAAAGTAGCAACTGAGGGAAAACTGAAAATGACCCGGACAGTCCTCAGGTTTGTGTAAAATATTCTGTCCTAACCCAGGCTTAGAAGATTTTTCTTACTTTGGTGTACTTTTTAAGTAAATAAAAAGGGGAAAAAGCTCAAAATATAGGTATTAGCTGCAAAAAATACCAGATATAAAAGAAAATATAGAATGTTTACAACATTAATTTTCAATTTTTTTCTCTAAAGCAATCTAGGAGAGATTTATATACAGTGGTTTGCAAAAGTATTCATACCCCTTGAACTTTTCCATATTTTGTCACATTACAACCACAAACATAAATAT